AAAACACAATTTCTTGTCAAACATTTCGATTAGCAAAAATCTAGAATGTCATCGCCTTCGGTAAAGCGTGTATCATCCTCATTTACAGCACATTAAAAACTTAAATTATAAATAAACGATTTTATAAGTGAAATCTTTGTTTGCATTTTCCAAATGCATTTTCAGAAACGATGCAATTCTGTTTTGTAATATTGAAGAAAAATGCCACTTAAATCACATTATGAATAGGCATTCAAGATACCCCAATGTTGAGAGACTTGTCCGGTATAACTGCTTCGTATGCAAAATGTTGGAAGCAAGATCACAAGTCAAGGTGCTAGTGATCGTGCGCACTGGTGTTATATGTAAAGCAGAGCTAAGATCCTTGATAGGATGTCACAACTAAGTTTTTTTTTTAATTTCAATATCAATCCTAGGCCTTGATAATTCGATTTGAACTTACTAAATTTTCATGTATGAATGAATTTGCGCCGATACTATGCTGGTAGGTTTGGTGCGGGCTTTATGAACTTACCGTAATTTTGTTATTCGAGCTCAGCTAACCTCATTAGACAAATGTTCAGCGTTTTAGAACTATTTCTTGAGCCTATGTTAATGTTACTTGCTGAACACTAAGGCCGTCTACAACTCAATACCATACTCCTATCATAACAGAAGGAGGTAAGTCCTTTTCTCAAAGTGTAAGCTCGCCAATTTGCATCAGTATTGTATAAAAAAAAGACTTCAAAATAAAGGAGTTATTAAAGGTAATACTTGCAACACCTCTAGTTGCGCTCAACAGGTGTTCAACATTTTATTGTTGTTATTTAGTGTTTACTTTTGAAATTTTCTATTCAGTCATAAACTATCATCGCTACTTTGCCAGTTCCACATTGAACAACTTACTGGATTTTCCCCACAAAAGAAACTTCACAACTGAGGTTTCTCGACCACCATAGGGTTGTAAGTATAAATGAACATTCAATAAATTTACTTATAATAATTACTATACAAGAAATTAAGATTTGCCATATGGCTATAGACGTATTCCTACTAAATGACTTGAACGGAATCTCTTTTGGCCCTCTTCAACCTCCCACAAACTGAAATG